GTGTTCATTCTCACCTGGCTAGAAGCCCTGGTGACTTTGACCAGAGAATACTGCTTCGAGGTGCTCTCATTGTTGTATTTTGCAAGAGACTCAGTGGCAGCTTCTAAAACCTGGGGATCTGATACGGCAACGGGGCTGGGGCAGTCGGGACATGTTTGGTGAATGCTTCTTCGAGAAACTGTTGATGTCAAAGAGAGCACCACAATGAGACTTCATGATTTTTAATCCCACTTCCATATAACCACAACAGAGACAGAGATTATAAATAAAAAATGACAATGCTGAGTTTCATCAAGGATGGAGTGGAAAAGACACTTTCTGAATAAAAAACTGTCAGCGCTGGGTTTTGTGCAATAGGAATGTATTACACTCTTAATTAAAGTAAAATCCAATGGTGTTTTTCCTGTTCACGCATTTGTTTATGTTTCAGATAGGATATTGTTCAAAACTCATATAAACATATGTTTATATGATTTCAAGACTTTTTCCCCATTGGGTTCAATATCATCAAGAATCACTGCCTCTCTTAGGGGGCCTGGGAGCCTTAACAGGTTGAGTTTTCTTCACATCATGGCTTTTTACCCATTAGTCCCTAACATCAAATATAATATCTAATGCATGGTAATGTCTAGCAAATATTTGTTAAGTGAATGAATAAATAGCCCAATTGAAGGTGAGAACAGAAAGTGTTTGGTTAGAAAATGCAAATGACTCAGAAAACAAAATTAAGTGGCTGTGTGCCCAGATACAGTTCTCACACTAGTGGTACAGTCAGAATTTCTGATTGGAAGCAGGTGGAGGGGGCAACTCTAGCGAGAAAGTTGATCAGGAGACTTGACTGAAATTCATTTTTTAGAGTAAACATATTGTTGAGACAACTGTTTTTTAGACAACTGTACCAGTCATTTGCATATTTATTGTGAAGGGGTTTGGAGGTTTAGGTTAAGGGGTAGTTATGAGCAGCTTATCACTCTTGGCACTATTGCAAGGTCACTTCTGACTAAATTATTTAAGTCCTGATTCTGATTAATTGTTGTCCCTTAATTTATAGTTGAGAAGTCCCATCTTTATGCCCAGGAAGCTTAGATGGTGGTAAATAATGGATTTGCTTGATTGCATTGTCCCTCAAGAAAAATGCAAAAGAGTTATCACCCAGAGTTTGTAGAGAAATGTAGGGTCTATGTCTATCCCAGACATAGGGACTCAGAAATTGCACCTGAATATGACTGTCCAGGGGAATCACGTGCACATAATATCATGATAAGTGGTTATAACCTGCCTCCCAGGTGCTGAATGCTGCTTATTCAAGCAGGACCCAGATGCACCCACTTGCATATATCAAATATCATGTCTTGCAGCATCATTTTAGGACATTTTTTCATTATTTAGCCATCATAGTATACTTAATATATATGAAAGGAATAAGGAGGGTGGTAGCAGGCAGCAAGAAGACATGAAAAGTTTCCATGATATATGAGCTAAGCCTCTAGAACAAGGCAGGGCATGGTGTGAGCTCCAGGAATGGTCAGGTTAAAGGTTTACAGGGACGTAGAGAGGACAGCACCCTTATTTCTTGAATAGAGAACACTATGTCAGTGGTCCTCACAGATGGTCATGAGTTCCACAACTGATGCTATCAGCTGTGTTCAGAAAAGAGGGAGGCACCCAGCTGTGTAGAGAGCAGAGCGGTGGGGTCGGAGAGAATCTCTGCACACATGGCGAGAAAGGCCAGCTGGCACCTGATGTAGAAATTAGGACGTTTGTATCAGACCAGGAGTTAGGATTTCATGCAGTCCCAATGCTGAGTAATTATTATCGCAGGTGACATGTGGAGGTGGGAAGTGCCAGTGCTGGATATAGTGG